TCTCTCTTTCCCTCATATAGGTGGCAGTAAGTAACGGGATAGCAGTGCGGGTGCGGTGCGCAGCGGCGACCCGACCCCGAAGTGCAATGCGTAGCGTGGGAAGATAGAAAGAGCAAGCGACAAGAAGAGTGGAGGGAAAAGAGGCAGGGCGAACGGAAAAGAGACCGGCCTGCCTGTCTCTCTCCTTCTCATCAACATTTCGTACTCTAACTACTACAGATAGACCATCAGACTTGCTCGGTGCGTCCAAGAACTTTTTATCAGGTAGTGACGCTGACCCGCGTTCAAGGCGAGGCACGTTAACGCAGAAAATAAATAATGAACACTTCAACAGATCGGACGCTATTCAACAGAGGAGTTGCACAATTACAAGTGCACAAGTTGAACACTTGCAAGTGTACTACTACGGAGTTGAACAGTTGCTGCAAGTATTCAACTTGGATTTGTACACCTACAAGTGTTGAGCAGTTGCACACCTGGTTTATCAGTGCTCAAGTCGCCGCGCGGAACAGAAGGGGAACAAGACAGGAGCATGGTGCATTGAGGCGCACTTAGTGGTGCCCATCGGGCGTGCGCTGCACCGCACCGCAGCGGAAGCGCTGAGCTGCTCCAGTGAGCGCGGCAGCCACTGCCTGTGCGAGACCTACGAGAAGAGCTATACAGATGTTGGACTTTTTACCCCAGTCATTTCTGCAAGAATTATTTCAGACGGGTGCCACCCGTTTATTTTTGCAGGGTTTGTCTGTAATTTTATGTCTTGCTTGAAGAAACAAATAAGACATTGAACTTATTTTTTTTATGAAACACGTTTTTAGTTGTGGTTTTTATAACTTACACACCCTAATAGTGATAGAATAATTCAGAAAGTAGGTCCGTCGTTCAATTTTCATTGTGAAATTGCGAAGTTCAGCCATCGAAAATGAACGCTCTGATGTCGCCTTGCAGGTAGGCAAGATCTTGCCTGCAGTGCATGCGTGTACTGCAGGGTGGCCTACCCAGGGTCTCACAGGCTCTCGCCCACAAGTCGATACGTGTATACTTGTAATTTTACAATTTTGAATTGTGATTTTACGACATGCGCTGCTAAAAATATTTTGTGATTTTCCAACACTTTCACGATACGAAGCAACTGTGAAATCACAACACTTCTTTTGTGCTCAAAAATAGTGCATTTTGCTATCTTACTTAAAAATAGTTGTGAACCAATCGTAATAACTTTTGATGTTGATAAATTTTTGACCACGAAGAAGACTTGTGATTTCACAAAGGGTTGTGGCAACATTTTTCACACCAAATTCTTCGTAAAGTTTTGACTTTTTTTAACAGTCTGCTTCAAGGAAAATTTTCCCGTAGTAAAACCTACAACTATTTTTCACAGTGGGTTCCACAGCCTTACTAACATAAAGGCTGACATGATATTGACGGTACGGCAGGTAGCTGACAACGCAAAATATCGAAAGTTAGGATCATGCTTAAGCTCAATGAGGAGAATGAGGGGAGAAAGAACTGCCCCCGCCCGGCGGGCACTTCACGAACAACAACTCTTAATTATTTCAGCCATAATTGCCTCCCTCTTCCCCTCTCCCCGGATTTTTCTAAAAATCATACTGTGATCATAATTGGAGGAAAAACCATCACATTTAAGGCATCTCTTACAAAGGTTCTAAATTTTAATACCTTTGAATATTTCCGTGTGTTTGTTTCTAAAATAAGTTATTAAAATGACCATAACACCGTTCATTAAAGGCACAAAGTCCACCCTTTTAATATATTTAAGTATATTGCAGACAGGTGCGTTCGGATATACCAGAGCTGAGAATCGCTAATTTTGATTGTCTAATCCCTCTAATCTCTTAAGCATTGGCGACTGATGCTATTTTTTCTCGTGTGTGGGCAGCTCGTGCTGGCGCGCCCACGCCGGCCCGACCCGGCCTGACCCGGGCCACTCATTAAGGCTGCGCTTCCGAACGCGTCACGTGACGCGTCACCACGCCACGGCCGCGGCGAGCCGCCCGCGCCGCGCGACTCATCTTCTTATTAGCTGTCGCGTGCGCCGCCCTCGGCCCGGCAGGGACCCGGCAGGGAGGGAGGAAGAGAACGGAGATCATTAGCCGGATGCAGCAGCCTGCACTTTATGGCCAGACCCACTCACTACGACGAGCGATAAGGCGAGGCGCATGGCCAGCTGGAGTACATGGCGCGTGGCGTCGGAAGAGCAAGGGGGGAAATATAAATACGCACAATGACAGTCACCGCCCCCACCCGAGCCCCCACCCCAGCGAAAAATACCTTAGTAAATTATTTACAACATATTTTGTATTTTCTATTTACAAAATATGTCATTGTGAATTTACCACCAGTTTATTCTCTGCTCGCCAATAATGAATTCCAATAAGTCGATACAGAGTGCTTTGTAATTTTGCGATTTCAAATTGTAACTATTCAATTTCAAATTGTAATAATACAACACAATACTCCTGCAGGGAGGAAGCCGAGGGGGGTTTACCTCACGCGATACCCCGTACACCTAACCTGGGTACACGGTATTACGCATGAACGTAATACATACCAATATCAAATATCAAAATAGGCTTGAAAATTGCAATTATTTGCATATAATACCGGCGTTATACCGCGCGATACGCTGTAATACGGAGTACTCTGTCTGTACGCGTTATCTCGGAGTGAAACCGCCTCCGACGAAACCGAATCCACGTGGCTGCTATCCCCTTTACATGATAGGGGAAAGGGCACATGCAACAGGAAGGGTCCAGTCCATCATCAGTCATTAGGCAGGCGGGGCCCTCATCTTTGTTCCTTCCCTCCGGCCGCAACCCTTCCCTCGGCACCCGCATCAGTCCGACCCTTGGCCCGTGCCGCCGCGCCGCGAGGTCACCGTCTCGGCAGCCTCCGGGTGACGTTCGAAGGAATGGACGGGCTCGTCCAGAAACTATACGTCCGTTTTTCTCAGATTCGTTCGGTAAAGTCCGCGAGCTCGGCGCCTGCGAGACTCGGGTTAGGCCACCCCGCAGTACACGAATGCCCTGCAGGCAAGATGTTGCCTACCTACCAGGCGTTATGAGAGCTTGTGAAGGCAGGGTGCGTAACGGCGAATGACGGGCGAACTTTCTGGATGATCCCTAGGTAATGTTCTTTGTGTGGACTACGGTAAGCACACACTCCCATGTGTGGCAAGTACACGCCTGTTTGTGTGTGTGCTTCCAAGTCGACTATCTTTCTTGTTTTTACTAGGTACTCTGCTGGGTTTGTAGTGTATCGGGCAAAGTTAAACACTGGCCTCAAATTTGCGCGTGTTCGAATCTGCTTTCATGATTCATTTTTCGACGGAACTTTGTTGTTTTGTAAGTCTCAAACTACAGAAATTCTAATCTATCACTTTCACTGGATCAATATCCCTCCCCCCTCCCCCTCCCCTCTTGGGTAACGCCAATCTCATTCTCAATGCGAATATTAATCGCAAGTCGAAAATTGTCATGGTTTTCTTTACACGTCGCACTTGTAAGTTCATAAGAACAGAGACGTCGCTAAGACACTCGGCACGCACCTTTGAAACAGCCTATTCGCACATTCGCACACAACAGAGCGGCGCGCCGTTCTAATTGTTATTGTTGTTCCGGGGCGCATAAAGTTGAATACTTTACAGCACAACGGGACGGAACGGAACGGGGACGGAACGGAACGCGGCCGGACCGCCCCGCCGGGACGGGCCAAGGTAGGGTGACGGGTGGGGAGGGGGGTGGGAGCGTTGACCCTCCTCTGCGCACCGGGCCGCCCAAGTCCAGCCGGCCCCCACTCCAGGCCAGGGCTGGATGCACAAAGCCCCAGAAAGCTAGAAACGCTAGAGTTTGGCAGGGCTGTCCGTCCTGGCACACTAGGCTGGTAATGGTATGTGGACAACAAATGCACGCAGCTGGAGAGCCCCGGGCGTGCGCCCCGAGCGAGAAGGCAACCCGCCGCTTGCTGCAGAATGCCCGGGCATGCTACGCAGTGCTGCTAAGTATGTACTCACTCACTGTGGAGAGCGGGCAGCGTGACCTTGTGCGAGAAATATCTCAACGAGAAAGAAACGGGGGCACAAAGATATAACCCGTGCCTCTTTGCGAAAGACGCTCAACTAGATGACCCATGCTCCACCTCTACATACACTTAGCGGTTCTTTGTAATTTTCCAAAATAATTTTTTAGAAATCTCTTCTTTTTTTTTCTGAGAAGTTTCATTTTTCTTTCAACTTTTCTGGAAATTTTTCAAATTTTTCCCATTTTTTTCTGTAAACGTTTCCAATTCTTTGTGGGAAAAAAATCCCTCCATACACCTTTACCTTGAACCTGCCGTCGTTGATGGGCGGCTGGGCGTAGGGGACGCCCAGGAAGGTGTGGACCACGCCCTGCACCCGCTCCACGGGCGTCATGCCGGGGCGGTAGCCGGACAGCGGGTCGGGGTTGTCGTACAGGTACGTCTTGAAGCCCTGCACCTGGCCGTACGTGGTCTGCACGTACACGTCGCGCTCCAGCTGCAGAGAGTCGGGACGCATCTTGCCCTGCAGGTCCGCGCGCCAGCCCGCCAGCACCCCCGGCAGCGGCAGCTGCCCGCCCTGGAACAGAGAAAAACAAGCGTCAAACAAACTGTACACTTCAAAGTTTTTGAATAACTTTGGTTGGGGGTCATGGGTGCAGTTCAACGAAAACCCTCATAGACTGGGGGAACTTCAATGCATTAACAGAGTAAGTTTAAGTACAGTTCGTTGGACTTCATTCGTCGAATTTCGTACAGGTTCGTCAGACCTCATCGAAGATAAAAACTAAAATACAACAGATCAAGCCTATCCGCCTCTGACTGAACATAACATAGACCAGGCCGAGGACAAGGCACATGTCACATGAGTCGCGGGGACCTGCGAAAGCGTAAAAGTGGACATGTGCAAGTACTGCTGGGCCATGACAGTGTGCCTACGAGGTGTTGTCCAGCCAGAACCCACTACTAGTAAGTGCAGCCCAGCAGTGTCTCAGTGGACAACGGCCTGCCGCCGGCCGGGCCCTCGGCCGGGGCGGGTGGGCGTGGCGCGCCGCGTGCGGCGTGCGAGTGAATCACAGGTCTGCCTATCCTCTATCGGCGGCCCGCGCCCGCGGTGAGTCACGGTGAGCCAGGAAGCGCCAGGGCCACGGCCAGCCTGACCGAGTGCCCGACACTCTAGCTGCTGCTGGACACCGGCTAGAGCCGCGGCTAGAGCCGGGCGGATGCAGCCAATCGGGCAGAACCCGCCGCAGGCAGGCGCCGCAACGAGTGACTCAGCGCAGCGCAGCGCAGCGCCAGCGACCCGCGGGAGCGTGGCGCCCGACCCGGCCCGACCCGCCGAGACAAGGCGAGGGAGGATCGGATGGACGGGAGAAATCCGACGCTTATTATTCTTATCTCCTGTTGCCGAAAAGCAGCGGGTGACCTCTGAGAGACCCGGGGGAGAAATAAGTCATTTCCTAGCCAACCTATCTGAGCAAAACTTTTTGACCGTGTTCTAAAAATGAACAGAAAGAATCTAAATCAAGAATCTATCTTGAAAGCAGATGATACAAATTTAAGAATAGGTGTCTGTTTTCTAATTTCCATTATTTATTTAATATTTAGCTGCCATTTGTTTATGGTTGCTTCTTTTTTGCAATTTCGGCGATAAAGCGCGGGCGCGGACAGAGCGGCCGGCGTCGGATAGTATTGTTGTGAAGGGACGGGGGGAAGCGGTGCCTAGTATTGTTAGGCAGGGTAAGAGTAGGGGCTGAAGCGACACTCGGGCGCTCACTCACTGATCCCCCTAGCGCCAAATAGATTGTTTTTCACTGATTCCCCTAGCGCCAAAGAGATTATTTTCTGGTCTGCGCTTGGTTCTCTGTCCTTACCGAGAGCGAGAGTAAAAGCTAGCTGACACCTTAAAGTTACTTTTATATTCTTTATGTTTAGTCAAAAGGTTTTTAAGGTATCATCTGCTAAAAATGAGGCAAACTAAACAGTTTCCATCCTCTTGTATCGGAGCGGCGGACGGCAGCCAGCATGTTCCAGCAGTGGTCCCGGAGAACTAGAGAATGGAGGCCAGGGACAAAGGTGCCAGCGCCCGGCGTACAAGAAGCTGCACAGGCGAGGGGCGGCGGGCGGCGGGCGGCGGGGCGAGCTGCACTCGTGCACAAGCGCGGCACAAGTGCAGCCAGTGCAGGACGCCACAAGGACACTGGCAACCACTAGGTGTAATGTTGTCCAGCATGCTTGTATAAAATTTATAGTGGAGCAAAGCAAATGCGTGAAAATTGCTAACGTAAAATTATAAAATGATCTTTGTTAAATTTTAAGGCATTTTCAAACTGATTGAGTCAGTAAAAGCTCGGTTAAAAGCTATATGAACACACGAAAACCTTATGCATTTTTTTGAACATAAACACGCAAGATTTTACGCAGCCATAATTTTCTGCACAATTTCATGCATTATTATGTTCAATTCGTGTATAGTTCTGTACAATTTGTACATAACTATGCATAAAAATTGTACATACTTAAATGGCTGCGTAAAATCTTGCATGTTTATCTCAACAAAATGCACAAGGGATAAGTGTGGAAGGTTGTGTGCGAAACCCACGACGAGCGTTCATTTTTATTTTCCCGCACCGGGGAAATAGAATTAAGGTTAGGCTCCCATGTGCCTGCAGGTGTGAGTCTCCCATTTCGAGTGCCTCGCCCTAACATGGTGTACACGGCTCCCATCATGTCCAAACGCAAACGGTCGCGGACTGAGGTCCCTTTCTCCCCGGGGAACGAGACCAGGATTGTCATGACCACGAGCCACGCCGTGCCCAGCCGCTTCCCGCCACTGGCGTTGCGTTAGACTTGCGTGGGGGGGGGGGGGGGGACATGGAGCCAATCGCCGCGTGTTTGATACACTTCGCCAGAGAAATCCCATCTGTGGCCACGCGCGCCAAAGTGTTGCGCACTTCCTCGGGCCACAGGGGCCGGCGTACACCGCACTACCCACTGTTAAAATCTTTCAAAGCATTTTTATTTGTAAGCTTACAAATAATCTGATTTCTTTATAATTACTAAGCATTGCATAGTATTACGAAGCTACGAAGCCGGTTCCTTGTAATACAATGCTTCTGTTTTCTACGTAGCTTACAACAGAAAATCTTTTGTAATACAAGGCAATGCTTCGTAGACTTTTAAACTCGCGGCGACAGCAAAGAAAGGGCGCGCGGGTATCACCAAGTCAATGTCTTTGTACGCGTTGCGAGCTCGGTAAGGTCCGATGCTATGTACTCGACGCGTCCCCCGCCCAGCGTGATTCGCACCGTGGCCGGCGCGGCAGGGGCGCGGCGATTGCAGTATGCAGGCCGACTCGGCTACCTACACCTGAACCGGCCGCTGGGCCACCGCTAAGCCCTCATTTCGGGGCCGTCTCTTGAAGTCCACACACCCATTTTACAGGTGGTCCAAAATGTGCTACGACGAGCTCGCCTTTGTTGTGCACGGCACGTGTTCCATAGTTTTCGGAGGACGTCTGCATCGTACGGCGATGTGGCGTGAACTTCGACTGGGGTGCGTATTTTAAGCAGGGCTGAACTCAATATCAGATGAACGGTGACAGCCCATGGGAGGGAATTAGCGTACGTTTGAACGTATCAAATTTTGAATTATTTTAAAGGGGAAAAATAGATGTTGTCACCACATCGAACGTAGTCTGGAAACTCAAGTGTCGTACAGTATCAAAGTTTAAACGCTACCTCTAGGGGGCCACAACACTGTTGAAAATGCTGTAAGGAAGTATTCTTTGCATACGGTCCGTCCTGTATATTTTATCTACGGGCCAGACCGTAAAGATATGGACCGTACTTCAGTCTCGAAGTCAAGTGCTGTATTGACCAAAAAGACGGTTGACGAAGTTACGGTACATCCTGTACGGTGTACCGTAATCCAAAATTACAGTCGCGGACGCGGTAACAAATTGTCAGGGCACACTGTCTGTAGACATTGCCTGTAGGTTTTTCTAAGAGTGAACTCCGGCAATCTGATGTACACCCACCATGGCAATCTACGATAATCTTCGGCAAGTTTCCATAGTATATGTAAATATAGGCAAAGCACAATACCTGTATATATCTTTTATTCGCAAGGATCTTAGCAATCAAATTTTTTGCACACATTCCTGCGTTGATGTGAACACATTTGTGCATTTATTTAGACGAAATCATACATATTTGAGCCGATTTGAGCACAAAGTCGTCCAAAACAAAACGTAGGTTTAAGTGAACGTTAACATTTGCACATAAATGTACAAATACATTTAGTGTACAAAAACTCGTTTATTGTATGTGGGAATAATTTTCTGCCATAACAACTGTTGTGACGACTAACGCGTTCCTAGGATAACGAATGCGTTTGTTGGGACTAATTACTACATAAGGGGTTTTTATGACTTTTGTTTTCCTAGAAAACCCTTCCGTTATGCTAACTATGTTACAACTGTTATTTCGGTTCTTGCAGTTAATTTTTATCTTTTACGTGTCGAGGTGACGCACGTCAATAAGCTCCTAATGGCAGCAGCACATAAGGGGCCGTTCAGAAGCCACGTGGACTTTAGGGGGGGGGGTCTAAATATTATAGAGATCCGAAAGGATCAGGACGTTCATTCGAGTCTAAGAAGATCGCCTGATGTTTGTACCCCGGGGTACGAATATTATGTATCCCCATGGGCTCCAATGACCGTCCTGATCCTGTTAGGACTCCATAATATTTGGATCCCCCATAAAGTCCACGTGGTTTCTGAACGCCCCCTAATCTGGTTTGAGCAGCGAGGGCAAATAAAGACGCGATTGACTCATGACGCGGTCTTCTCCGATTTAACTCGAATAGCACTGGCGCGTCTATCACGTACGGGTCTATCACGTGCAGGAAAGGGTCGCATTGGCGAGCAATTGGCAATGTTAATGTTGTGGTAAAGTACAGGACAACACCCCTCCAATTTGAATGCCATCAGAGGCACGTGGAAGTGGCCGAGCTATTTTTGCTGTACAGGGTACAAGGGCACAGGGGGCCGCTGGTTAAGGTGTAATAGAGATCTACATTACACATTACCGCAGGGCAGGGGCCGGCAGGGGCACATTAGCATTGCCTACATAATCACTGTAATGGGTTGGCGTCTTATGACGCCAAAATATTGGCGTCCTCTATAGAACGCCAAATGTTGGCGTCATAAAACGCCAATTCTTGGCGTCCAGTAAAAGAACGCCAAATTTTGGCGTCTTTTAGGATTTGGTGTCGGACGCCAAAATTTATTGGCGTCGCATAAGACGCCAGAATTTGGCGTCATAAGACACCTATGTTTTGGCGTCAAAAGACGCCAACCCATTTACAGTAAAGGGGGGGAAAATGCCCGAAGATGCCGAGAGATTGCTACCTTTCGATGATGGGTTTTCTCTGAATCACACTAAGTCTGAAAGAACTTTAATAATTGTCCATACACTCTGAATGTGAAGGAACTTTTTTTTGTACCTTAATCTAGCACCAAAATGTTTGTCCATAGCCGCCGACAAGAGATCTATGGACAAAAACGTGTCATTTTATAGACAAATTGTGTCATTAGAAGGGACAAAATGTTCCTTATGAAATTTGTTCCTTCCTTTGTAACAAATTTGTTGCGAACAAGCAACAAATTTAAACGTCCACTCGCTGGGACAGATGTCTTTTTTTTCCGTGCTGATCTCGCTCTCCAGAGAGCGAGATATCTGACTCTAGCGTTTTCAGTGCCATTACTCGGTTCAAATTTTCATCCGTTTGAGATGTGCACAAAAACGTACTAACAGTACAATTATCTTTTTTTGTGTCTAGTTTAGAGACAAATTTGAATCTATTTGATATGTGCTTACGAACGCATCCTCGCTGGACAAAAAATCGTCCTTTCCCATGTAGAGTGAAGATGAATTTTCGTGAAATCACAGCAACCTTTTCAACAGCGCAACAACCCGGGGTCTGTGGGTCTGAGGGCCATTGGCCACCCTGTATAGTCACACGCGGTCGGACGTCACTCGATTGTCGGCATGTTCTGTCCTCTGACGATACTTTCGCAATGCAACAAATCACGTGCCTGTATAATGCGCGGGGAGGGTGTCCGCGGGGACGGGACCTGGCCGATGCGTCGGTATAAAGCCCCAGGGCAGGGCGCCGGGACGGGCAGGGTCAGCGCAGCTCTGGTGGCGAACAGCGGCGGCACACCATGGTGAGTGCAGCGCTCGGCGCAGCGCGGGCCGACACCCAGGACGCCGCCGTACGCGCACCGGCTCACAATAACGCCGTGCCCAGTTTTTCCAGAGATCAACCACGACGCCGACGACCGGCGGCGAGATGGCGGCGTCCCTCCACCGGGTCCGCGACGCCATCCGCGAGGAGCGGAGGAAGAGGATCGCGGAGCGCCTCAAGAAGCCGTCCGTGGCCGACTTCTACAAGGGCCGCAACGTCTTCATCACGGGCGGCTCCGGCTTCGTGGGCCGCATGGTCATCGAGCAGCTGCTGCGGACGTGCCCGGACATCGGCACGATCTACCTCGTGATGAGGGCCAAGAAGGGCACGGCCCCCCAGGACAGGCTGCAAGGGCTGCTCGACGTGCCCGTGAGTGTGTGAGGAGTGAGCGTTCGTTCAGAGCCGCATGCTCAAGTTCAAGAAAGGGTTCAGACGTCTTTAGTTTACGTGAATAACTGAATCACCCGTGCCTCGGGTAGGCACGTCAGTCCGTCCGTGACCGTACCCTCCCCCCTCCCGCATATGGAAACGTATGGCACCATTTTGTCAACAGTTTGTCATCTCACCGAGGACAAACGGATGACAAAATGATGAAAATAAGATGATGAAATTTGAATGACGTACTGATGACAAACTGATGTCGTTTGCGATTTGTCATCCGTTTGTAATTCGTCGATGACAAACGGTTAATAAACTGTTGACATACTGATGACACATATTGATGACGAAACGCCGATTTTCGTTTTGTCATCTGCTTGTCATCAGTATGTCATCAAATTTCATCATCGGATTGACATCAGTTTGTCATCCGATTGGCGTCCGTTCGTCATCGGCGAGATGACAAACTGATGTCATACGGTTTCATGCTGGCTGCGCTCCGGAGCTAGTGCTAGTGTGCGACCAACGTTTCGTGGCGGTCCAACACACTGCTGTCTGGCACAGTTTTCCGAAAAACAAAAGTTTTCCAGAAAAAAATAGAAACATTCAAATATTTAAAAAGTCTCGAAAAAGTCTTCACGGAACCGGAAAACTAAAATCCCTGTCCGTTTTGTTTCAGCTATACGACAGGCTCCGTGCCGAGCGGCCCGGCGCGCTCTCCAAGCTGGTCGTGCTCCCGGGGGACATCACCGAGCTGGGCCTCGGGCTGAGCCGCGAGCACCAGGACCTGCTGCGCAAGGAGGTGTCCGTCGTGTTCCACATCGCGGCCTCGGTGCGCTTCGACGACCCCTTCCAGAAGGCCGTGTTCACCAACGTGCGCAGCACGCGCGAGGTGGTGGCGCTGGCCCGGGGCATGCGCCTCGCCTCCCTGGTGCACGTGTCCACGGCCTACACCAACGTGAACCAGGACCCCGAGCGGGAGCAGGTGTACCCCACGCACCTGGACTGGAGGAGCGTCATCCGCATGGCGGAGGAGATGGACGCCGGCAGCCTGTGGGCCATGGACTGCCTGGGCCCCAAGTGAGTTAGCACGCAATCAGGGCGTCTGTGCTATCGAGTCGATTTTGTCTTATCGCCGTGGTTTTAATTTCCATTTAACAAGTTTGTTGTCCCGCTGCCGTCAGCTGGTTTTGAACTTTGTGTGCGTGTCTGCCTAGGCTCCGCGACTTCCAGCCCAACTCGTACACCTTCACCAAGGCCCTGGCCGAGGTGCTGATCAACGAGGTCGCCGACGAGCTGCCCGTCGTCATCGTGCGGCCGTCCATCGGTGAGTGCTGTACCGTACTGTACAGGCTGCTGACGGGTCGCGGGAGTTCAAACCTTGCAAAGCAAACCTTACCAGGTGGCTGATTCACGCCGCGCACTTCTGTAGGTAGACTGTACCGCATGCACGAGTGCGGGCGGGCTTGCCTATCGCCCCTGTCCACGGCGCCTTAGGAGCCGAGCGAATAGGCAATAACCCGCCCGAACCCGTGCATGCAGTACAGCATAACTACCGCCAGAAGTGCGCGGCGTGAATCAGCCACCTGGTACATTCTTCGCAATTGCGATTGCTTTGTAAATACAAAGCGTTGCTTCGCAATTTCGCGAGGGATTCGGCATATCGCTTTAGCAAGGCTATATGGCCTGTGTGCCTGTGAACATGGTCGCTAACGAACATCTCCTCGCCCCTCGCAGTCATGCCCTGCCTGTGAACATGGTCGCTAACGAACATCTCCTCGCCCCTCGCAGTCATGCCCACGTTCAAGGACCCCATTCCCGGCTGGATCGACAACCTGTACGGCCTGGGCGCCTTCTGGGCGGCCGCCTGGAAGGGACTGATCCGCGTGTCGTACTCCCCGTACAAGGATGTAGCGTTCGACAGCGTGCCCGGCGACGTGGTCACCAAGATCACCATCCTGGCCTCCTGGGCGCGCGGCCTCAGCTACAGCGTTAGGTACGTGGTCCCACTCCAGAGAATGTATTAAGGACACCATAGGCAACGACCAAAACCGACCAAAACGGGATCCCATAAGCCCAGCGAGCAATTATCAATCAAAATTATATCAAATTGACATGAAATTGTCAAAATTTCGTTTTTGAAGTAAGATTGCCGGCGAATTGAAGTGTCTTAATTGAGCATTGGTTGCTAAGGAGTGTCACACGAGGTTTTCCTTCCGTTCTCCACGGTGTTACCACGGTCTCCATGATTATGGAACAGGGAGGTGAGGGGTAGGATGAGTACTTTCTTGCGGAAGGCATCGAATCTGACTTTAACTTATCCGCACTGGCAGGGCGCCTCCCGCCGATGGCAGTGCCCCCAAGGCCAAGGGCGTGGAAGTCGTGCACGCCACCGTGGGGAAGGTGGGGTGCTCGTACACGGACATGGAGTGGGTCACACAAGAGCTCTCCACAAAAATCGCCTGCACTGGGATGATCCGTGACACCAAGTACACCCTGCGGAACAACTACTTCGTGTACCTGGTGGAGCACTGGTACCACCACATCCTGTACGGCACGGTACTCGACCTGGCCGCAACACTCACTGGCAAAAAACGGAGGTGAGTGTAGAGAAACGCACGCCGAAGCTTTGACACATGCTTCCTCAAGTTTAGTTAGTGTTTCACTCAAGGTTTCACTGGAAAAACTAATGTTACCGAGGTAACGTTTCTTGACGCAACCAAACCAGGTAACGTTTGGTGATGCAACCAATATGTGATGGCCCTATCCTTTTGCATGGGGTAGGTTATTGCATCAGGAAACGTTACCGGGCTTGGTCACATGATTAAACGTTACCGCTCGGTAACATTAGTTTTTCCAGTGTTTGGAACAATTCTTTCCTCACTGTAAAAGGTTTTGTTGCAACAATGGAAATCCATGGAAATTTCCAAACAATTAACTAGACAATTTGCACAACACCGAACAGTTTGGAAAAATTGAAATCCAAACAGTTTTGGAAACACAATTTTCCAAACCATTTTGAAAATTCCACACTCTTTGGAAAATTTTTAGAAACCTTCGACCAACATTTCTTATTATATTTTCAAATTGTCCTTCGACCAACATTTCTAATTATATTTGCAAATTGTCATTTTTGTTGTTACGAAACTTAGATCTAGTGTAAGATGGTTCCTTTTTTGTTTTCCAAATTGTTCGGAAATTCCTAATAAAAGGACTGGAATTTTTTTGGAGAATCGTGTTTCCAAACTATTTGGACAGAATTCTTTTGGAAAATTCCGAATTTTATTTACAGTGTTATTTTTTATTTTTTTAAGCAATCCCGTTCTTTGCATTTGAATACTACTTTTTGATCCAGGGCGATGAAGGCATACCGCAGCTTGGCAGTGGGCCTCGAAACGTTGAAACAGTTTTCGAAGGAATTCAATTTCACATCGGAGAACCAGGAGTACATACAGACCCTCATGCATCCCAAGGATGAGGATGCGTACTGCACCCTGGCATACTTCAGCGGTAGAGACAATATAGAAAACTTATGCGACTGGGCCTCCAACACGATAAAGGGCGTACTAATGTACGCGATGAAGGAGGATATTTCACCCAAAAACCTCAAGGATATTCCAAAGTAAGTAATCTCCACGATCCGCCGACCATAGTTTGTTTCATCGCAAAAGAAATAATAATGACTCTAGATTGGAGCTAGTAACTAAGACTAAGGGACAGTAACCAACTTTTTAAAATGATTTTATTTAGGATTAAGATGGCTATGAAATTATACCACGGAACAATGGCTGCTATCGCCGGAATAGCAGCGTACAGCTTGGTGCCTTCATAATTTCTAACTTCCGTTCTCCGACCGCCGACCAAGCAAGATGCAAGTATTTATTATTATAATATCATACGTTTATCTTTATACTTATGTCACTACTGTACGTTTATCCTTGTCTGTTTTATTTCTATCTGAGGGTTTCTTTCATCCTATAAGGACTATCACAATTCGTTAACAAGATCATCGTATTTTAGTTTTCAGAAAATCCCTCAGAAAAAATCCAATTTACATAGAAATGAAACTGACAAGGATACCACTGTAGATGGGTTGGCGTCTTTTGACGCCAAAACATTGGCGTCTTATGACGCCAAATTTTGGCGTCCTATGACGCCAAATCCTAAAAGACGCCAAATTTTGGCGTTCTTTTACTGGACGCCAACCCATTTTACAGTGACGGAGCGAGAGCCTCAATTTGTCTCACCAATGCACCCTGTGCAAGCTGTTTTAAATATAATGATTTGTTTTTTAAAAAAGGAAACGCTGAGCTTGAGTTGATTTGTTCTTCTACAGATAAATGCCCCCTTGACACACCTTTCAGTTTGACTTTTGTCGCGCACATTATCACTGGAAAAACAAAGCTGCTATCCATGTTTCATGGACGGAAATAAAAATACAGTTTCCGCTGTTCTCTCAACAGAGTAATGTTCGCGCAGCGCGGGCTGTAGAGCGTGACTCGGCGGCACGCACACGCCACGCATCACAAACAGGGAAAAAATGCATTCCGTAAAAATTATTGTTGCGACTGCAGCAAACTGAAGCCAGGAAGCAAACGAGTTTTACTACTCGTCTTTGTCGTGTGGAAAATCGGCGATGTTTAAAAGTTTGATGAACTTTCGATCATTTCCGAGTAACCAACCAATCAGTTTTGGTCTATTTTGATCTCATTCTTCGACCAATTTTTATGAATTCCCTCTATCTTCCCATCACCGCCTGCCCCCCCCCCCCCCCCCCCCGGTGTCGTCTCGCTCCCACGCACGGCGCTGCGGCTGCGGGCGCGGCGAGCGACAGAGACAGGTAGCGAGTAGACAGGTGGGTAGCGAGCGGCGGGCGAGCAGACGGCGCAGACGGGTGGGGAGCAGGCGGACGGCAGGCGGCACAGGTAAGCAGGGTGGCGAGGCGAGCGTGTCGTCCCGTCCGCCAGGGGCAGCGCCATGAGCCAAGCCAAGTCATAAAGGTGCATATAGCAAAAGGGACTCCCGATGGGCGAAGCGGGCCGGGCCGGGCTCAGGAACCGATGGCTACACGGCGGGTCTGAGAGAAAATGAGAAGCCCGATCGCACCCTTCCTTTGGGTTGTTATTTTGCCTACTTAAAGTTTCTGGGTGTTTCTCAAGTTTGTCTGTTTTTTATCGCGGATTTGCGTGCTCGGGGTAGGCAACCCGCTCAGCCGGTGGGCACTGCGCGGGGCGCGGGCCGCCAGGCGAAACTTGAGTCCTGCTGGTTGAGCAAGGTACAGAGGGTGTGTGCAAGACCCATTTGCGAAGCATGCACTCCTATCGGCAACCGCCAT